GGCTAACCATTATAATCCGTTTATTGCGTTTATTATTTATAATTGTTATGATGGATTATCAGTAATAATTTTAGAGTTACACAGAGACATTGGATTAACCGTTGTTATGCCCTTGACATAAAATGACGTAGAAAAGATCGCATTTGCCAGTTATGTGCTAAAGTAGCCGTTAGCCCCGTTAGCCCGGTTAGCCCGTTTAGCTCGTTTTGTTAAGTGTTGATTTAGACTCGTGTTGGACTTCTGTTCCGTGTAGGTCAAATGGTTAATATCGTCTGTTAGCTGAGTTTTTCCCGTTAAGTGGGTATGCATCATTAATAAGTTGTTAAATGTTAAGAAGCCTTGAGACGCTGTTTCTAGCAAGATGTTGCGTCTGCCCATATGGTCTGCCCCCGGGAGTCTCACAATAATAAGAGCGCTGTTAGGAGACATGACGAGTGGCACTCACAGTGGCCAATCAGAGTGGTACTCAAACCGGATACATCACACGCGATGAGGGTTCCCAACCAACCACAATTGTTTAAACTAAGGAAGTAGCGTAATTCATACACTGATAGCAGCACCGTTTGTCCAGCGGCTTAACCGTCCAATCAGGTACCGGTACTGACTTAGTACCGGTTCTCGATACCCATCCCTACACACAATTCAATAAGATGTGCATCTAGGGAAAGCAATTTCTGACAGTCTGATATGCAGGGCTTGTGAGGTTTATCTCCAAAAAGTTTAAATGAGGTGTGTGTGTGTGTGTGTGTGTGTGTGTGTGTGTGTGTGTCTGTCTATATGCTGTGCTGTATCCACCTCTTCTTGAGCGACATGAAACCAAAACATGTGTTTATTTGACTTGCAAAAAGACTAATTTCAACCAGTTGTAGATCAATAGTTGCATCTCTAATTTGGATGCTTGGTGTCTGTTCAGACCGCATCATTTGTTTATATAATGTGTATAAATGGCCCTAAGCTGAGAGTCGCACTGCAGTAAATGCTTTCTTTGTTAGGATGGATTTAAAGAGCGAACAGATGTGTTTTATACAAAGAAAAACACATTTATTGCTGACTCTCTCAAAAACAGTTTTTCACAAGTGTGTCTTGCTGTGTTTCAGTAAAGAGAGCCGGATGAACGGGCAGTACCAGCAGACAGTGGACCCCTTCAACAACGACAACAAGTAAGACAAACATCGCTGAAATGAAAACTGTCTCTTTGGGTGTCCTTCCTGTATTCTGCTTTCTGAAGGAAATTAAATTAAATGCACATACCTTTTCTTTTAAGATAACTCTGGTTTTCTGTGAGGTGAAATCACTGTTTTTGTCAAATAGCCTGTCAGCTCTGGCGAAATCAAAGATAACAACAACGTATAATGGTGAGAATATTCGACGATAGCTAGACTGGTAACTGTTATTGATCCATGTGTTTCAGGTACAGTCTGTTTGCAGTGGTGAACCACCAGGGGACGCTAGAGAGCGGCCATTACACCACCTTCATCCGGCAGCACAAGGACCAGTGGTTCAAATGTGACGACGCCATCATCACCAAGGCCAGCATCAGGGACGTGCTGGACAGTGAGGGGTGAGACAGAGCACAGATCAAAATATTGCCACAGCACACATTATAAAGCCTTAACGTCATGGATGATTAACCAGGTATAAGTATGATATCATATTTGTTCTTCACGATACTTTAAATGTGTACCTGTTGCTATGATTTGGAGGCGCGTGACGCTCCTGCTCCAGCCGAAAAGGTCGATTTTATAACGGGTTTTAGGAAAAATAATGACTCAATCTATCGGTATTCCAGTAAAAAAAGTGGCTAAATGGCTAATTGCACAATGATAGCAACAAGTACCTTAACTACCCTTTAACGTGTTCATGGTTAATCATTAATATGCCATACATAGCACTCAGTTAATGATCCACGATGACAAGTTTTATACAAGGTGTGATATCCTTTTTTCCTATTAAACATCCCCAAGATAACAAAAAAAGTGTAATTTAATTTCTGGTATTGATAGTCAAAGTGGCTCTGGGGGCTAGGCTAACATTATGCTTTTCATAGTAGAGAAACTTCACATTATAAAGTCCTTTTATTTACGGTCCGAAGTAGCCAAACCATAGGCGGAGTTTGACATTTGCGCTCGGGGGGGCAAACCTTTTTTACTTCAGTACACAGTCCCAACTATTGCGTGGGGTGCTAAGGATACAGTAGCAATAAAGCCAGCGCTCACCACACTGAATATCACTTTTCCACATACAAAACAACTCGTCCCGTCATGCATGCCTCATGCCCGCCGTACACACACACACACACACTCATATGGAAGCGGCGGTCTCTCCCCCGGACAACAGTGCATTACATAACTGTAACACTTATCATTACTGTGCACATCTTATACTTATTTGATAACTACTATATCCCTTGAACACGCTACAATATTATTAACCAGTGTCCTACCTTATTAAAATATTGATATACGAAATATTTGTATTGGAACAGTTTTCGACGTAGTAATGCTGTAACATATTTCAGCCACTAGGGGGGGCAATGCCAAAATCCGCCTATGAGCCAAACACTGTCAATTCGGCTGGATAAGAGCACACTGTGTTGGAGAAGTTCTGCTTGCAATTCAATCTAGCTTTGTAAGTTTAATATCAACATAAACACAACTCCAAAGCTGTCTACTGTTGTTGTTTCTGTTGCTTCATCGCAGCAGGTACGTCATGACGTGGACATCTCGGGCTTTGGTTGGTTGAAAACCGAACTGGTACTCAATTGGTTCATCGAGCAAACCAAACTACCACCAGCAGAGAGCTTGAATAATATATAGCAGTTGTTGGGGAAATATTTTCCAAGGCCCATAACTTTGACCCAGTGTATCAGTTCATGCTGTCCTGACTGAGCACACGCACCTGTAACCTTGGCTGCTGTGCTCTCAGTGTTCTGTCTCCCTGTTCCTGCCTGTTGGATCAGCTGATAGAGGTGTTAGGATTCTATCTTGTTATGCAGCATGTTGATTATTCTCTCTGAACTAGCTAAACACATGGGTCTGGGGTAGAGCTCTTCAGAATTGACGTGGCAACTCTACCGTGAAGTCAGAACCTCTGACTCTTGGACTTGTTTTGTGAATTCTCCGGCCGAAGCTCCAAATAAACCCATCTGTGTTTTCCATCAAAGCTCCTGCTCTCCCCGTGTCTCCTTTGAGTCGGTGACTCCTCCTGCATTGCTACACAGACGTTTCCCCCACAGCAGTGAAAAGGAGGTATTAGTGGTGCTGCAATGTGACCTCATTTTACGTTTCTCTCTCCCCAGGTACCTCTTGTTTTATCACAAACAGTTCCTGGAGTACGAGTAGTTCCCAGCAGAGGAGACGAGGAGACGAGGGAGGATTAGTTTCATAGTGGAAAGGAGTGATGAGAGAGAGGCAAGGAAACAAACAGAAACCTGCCTGTATCCCTCTTATTGGAACAACTACATACTAACCTAGTTCAACTGTATCACATCCAAGAGAAAACACGTGCAAGAAAGAACAAAATGCAAGACGTTCGAAGGAGAGATCGGTACAGGATGTTACATTAAACATTGTTCACTTGAATTTAAAGGATGAAGAAGAATAGTCTTTACTTGATTTCAGACATTAGACGTGTTGCATCCTGACGTTTTCCTCCTTTTCTCAGCGTCACAGAAGGGCAGAAGGTTATTTTAAACCTTCATTAACCTAGGAGAGGTTTACTTGATCACAGATGCTGTTTCTCACCGTGTAGACGACCAAATATAACAAGGGGGGAAGTTGTCTTAATATGAATTTTCGTTTCAAATGCAAAAATCACCTGAAGAATGGAAATATTAACGTTGTATTGAGAGAGAGTTAATTCCATTGATCACCTGTGTCGTTGTCAGTAAGATAGGAAACGTCGTCTATAACGAAGGATAGTGAATTGTATATTTTTATACATACTGTAATTTGAATTGTTTGTTTACGATTTAGCATTCTCCCTAAAAGAAATCTCACATCTGTGTTACAGTGTTCCGTCAATCATGTTTTTTTATTACACAAAAAAGCTAAATAGTGCTGAAATTGTTGTCATGAAAACTGCTGCTATGGCGGATTTTGTTTATTTTATATGTTACTGTTTAATTGTATGGAAGCCATGAGAGGCCAGTGAGAAAATTGTCGGGTGGAAAGAAAATGATTTAGCTAGAATTATTTTCTATTTCTATATTAATATACATGTTTAAAAAAAGGATTACATTATATTTTTTTGTACATAAGAAGAAGTGGTGTGTTGTTGTAATACTCACGTCGGCCACAAGAGGTTTCACGAGAATAATTTGTTATTTCTATTTCATTTTATCTGTAAAAAAAACAGGTGAAAATAAGACATTTTTTGTTAGGATTATTTCTAAAGAGTTTCTTGTTGTAATACTCGCGTCGGCCTCAAGAGGTTTTACCAGAATAATTAACCAAGGTACTGTAAAAACATTTTTATTTTAGCATTCATTGTAAGGGCTAAGTGTATGCTGCTCTAAATAGGATACAAAATAGTCATCATTTCTTTTCAGATGAGTTTTAATTTGTGTTTTTTGTCAGCATTTCCATTTTTTTTACCTCTTTAAAAAGTTATCCTGCAATATACTTTTTTTTGTCTGGCAAAACCATTTCCCCCACTTGTTTCAACAGTTTTAAAGTAAAACAACACATCAATCTTAAAAAACAGCCCTTTTTGTTTTCTCACTTGCCTCTCAGGGCTTCCGTAGTTTTGACTTTAAATTGATCCCATTTGTTTGCCGTACAAAGGCAAATTCTCCCTTCTTAAGATCTGTTGTTGTGATGGTGTGTATCAGGAGTTTGAACCTTCAGTGTTAGCCGCATGTTGCTCTAATCTGGTGTGTGTGTGTGTGTGTGTGTGTGTGTGTGTGTGTGTGTGTGTGTGTGTGTGTGTGTGTGTGTGTGTGTGTGTGTGTGTGTGTGTGTGTGTGTGTGTGTGAAAATGAAACCTCAGTGTTGGTGTGTTTGGATCAAATTTGTTATTGGGCGTAAAGAGACATAACAAAGTGTGTGTGTTGCTGTTTGTATGCACGTGTGTCGTGCGTATGTTCTTATGTTCGTATACTGAATCAGTACTTTGCATCAGCATGCCGTTGGGAGCTGGGTATCACAGTTTGAAGGAGTTTTTTTTCCACATGTTGATGATGATGATGTATGTAAAAGTATATATGTACAGTTAGTATGTAAGAGAAGACAAATGAAGAAGCCTTAAAGTGGATTTTGGGTTCGTTAAATCAGAAAAAAAACGTTTGTTGTTGAGCCGGTCAGTCTTTCCTCGCACACACACATGTAACTGCTGCAAGAACTGGACACTCAAATAAAGAGAATCTATATCTGTACACACTCTCTGCCTCTTATTCACTGTCCTTGATGTATTTGTGTTGAGTTATTTTACTGCATTTTTTCATATGTAATGTAATATTACTGATTAAATGGTAATATCTAGCAGGACTGAGTTTTAAAGTGGCTAAAAACACTTAAAAAATAGGAGGATTTGAACAGTTTCACTTCAGTTATTTCTGGTTTAATGTTGCCTTATTGTGGGAAATGCAACTTCAAGGAGATTCTGAATCCTTATATGTAAACCATCACCCAACAAATACACAGTACTCATAATTAACATGCATACAGTGTACATATTAATCTATCAGGGTGTCCGCGGGTCTTAAAAAGTATTAAAAGTTGATAAATCAATTTAGTCAAAATGAAGCCTATTAAAAAGTATTAAACGGCATTTTCCAAGGTGTTACATTTTGTAGCTTGTTTTCAATAAGTATATAAATTGTCCAAAGAGGTTGTATTCTACAGTCTGCCTGAATGTAATCATTGCGTAGGTGTGTAGTGTGATTCTGTGTAGTTTATTTATGGCATCCCGTTGAATTTGACGTCATCTGAACAGGACATCGCACGCTCACTGCTTGATAGCGCGCAAGGTCCGTTTACGCCGGTTGTTAAACAACATCGTTATGGGGAAATGCAAGTTTGCGTCCAAATGGTTGGAAGATAAGGAGGAAGGACAATCAATACTGTATATAGTAAAGTGAGTCGCTAATGTAACCGGTTAAAACTCAAAGTGGCGATGAGGTCTTAAAATGTATGGAAAGGGTCTTAAAAAAAGTCTTAAAAGGAATTCCATTTGACTTCAGGATTCCTGCATATACCCTGCAATTGCTTCAGAAGTTTCCTCCACACTAACCCATAGTTTTTACATGATTTGTTCCTTGTTTGAAGCCCTGCTTATTTAATATTCATGCATTGGTGTCCAGGGTTTCTTCGAGCACATCTTTGCGGTGTGGCCAGTCTCCACGCTCTTTGAGCTGAACGGGAGCGTCCACGAGTGGTGGTTCAGATGGAAGCTGGACCGATTTGTAAGTCAAATGCTTTTTGGCTCCAGTTGCTCCTGTCATTAGTACTCAAGTGTTTACGCTAACACATTCTTAGAACTATAAAACGTTGCAGATTATAAAAAGCTTGGAACCGAACTTTGTAGAAATTGGTTTTGATGTTTGTTTTGCAGGTGGTGATACACGGCATGTTGTTTGCCTTCCTCTACCTGGTGCTTCAGAAGCGCATGGTGCTGTTTGAGGGCAAAGGAGACGCTCTCTTCTCTCCCAAGACCTCCAACGTGCTCCTCTTCCTCTCTGTCGTCTCCTTCATTGTAAGACTCTTCACAGTACTGAGGTTTAGATTCATTATTCCAGTTTGCTGTCATCTATTCCGTCTTGCAGCTCTATTTTCTTATGGAAAATGATCTTGGTTGTAAACAACGGCACTTTAGAAGATAATGATAACACAGGGAGGGTCAGTTACTGTTAGGGATGTTCGGACTCATTTCCCTAACGTTTAAATGGAAGTTTTACCATTAACTAGACCTTTTCAAGACAAATATAATACGTACGTTTAATTAAAAGAGCCAATAGAAATGTGATGAGATCATTTTCATACCGGCATCATGTACTCCGGTTTTACGAGATATCCTCTTTGTCCTGCTTCACATCCTGCTTCCTGCTGGGCTACAGGTGTTTGTTTTCAATATCAATATTTGAGCATCATGTACGAATGAATAGAACTAGTATATCTGTTGCCAAAGTACATCAACCACTGTTTTGTTGAAGCTGTTGATTGAAACATGTTTACCTAACTTCTCCTTTCCCCTTATTTTTCTAGACTTACTCCATATGGGCCAGCAGTTGCAAAACCAAAACCGAGTGCAACGAGATGCATCCTTACATCTCTGTGGTGCAGGTAGATTCTTTTGTCCGTCCTATTTTCGTGTCAGAGGTACAGTATATTTTGATGTTCTGTGGTTATTAAACCAATGTTTGTCTTGAGAAATATTTCATTGTCACATTACAGGATTAAATGACTGCAAAAACAAGGGAGTTGCCTTAATTCATTGCTAAAGATAGTTATGGCACTACCACTGGGGACACTGGTGAAGTTGTGCAATAGATAACTTCATTAAGAACCCTGAAACTTGACGTAGCGATTGTGAATCACTCTTACTTGAGTGTTATAGGACTGTGTATCAGAACGCCGCTGCTCGTGTCCTCACTAACATTAACGGCCCGTCCACACAGCGGCGTGCGTTGAAAGCTTCACCATTCACTTTGAATGGGGTGACGTCACTTTTCGCCGAACTGCATTGTGGGAAGCGACCCAGAGCTTTGCTGGCGTGGCTCGCTGCAAAAGTTGAGCAATGTTCAACTTTTGAAGCCTCGGCAGAAGCGTCAGCCAATCGAATCATATGCCAGTACAAGCTCTAGCCAATCAAACCGCTGCTTGTGTGTCAGGGGCGGGAGATTCATGTGATTGGTTGTTGGTCGAGTTTCAGACACGCCCGCCGGCAAGCTTCAACGCATGCCGCTGTGTGGACGGGCCGTAATAGAGTGGATCACATCAGTCCGGTTCTGAAATCTTTACATTGGCTTCCAGTCGGCCAAATAATTGATTTTAAAATACTATTGCTAGTTTTTAAATCATTACATGGTTTAGG